CTCCGGGGCTTTGCCGGCTCCGTGCGCTCCCTCCCCGCGGTCCCCGCGGTGCTGCTCCCGGGAGCCGCTGCCTGCTCGGGGACCCCTCCGGCAGTTCCACCGTCGCAGCCCCTTTCCCGGGCGAATGGCAAGATCCTTGCCTTCCCCACGGGCATGGATTTCATCGAACAAAACCCGGCTTGTTTCTCGGGGCAGTGTTCCCAAATTAGCACGCAATCCCGCTCAAGCTATCGTGCCGCGGAATTGTGATTATTCCGAAGTCGAGGAAACGACCAAGTTTTATTACTGTTGTAAAAGCGCATGTGACCTTATGGTATAAGAAAAAGACCTTCTTCTCAGAGGATCGTGGACCAAAGTAGTTCAATAAATGCCTTTTCTTCTCTTTGTTAGCTATAATATCCAGGCATTGCCTAAAACAAATATAAGTATTTGTTTAAACCACTTTTTTTTTTTTTTCCTGTCCTAAATTGCACCCTTGAGGTTTAGATCTGGCTGAATCCCGCTGGCTTTATTGAAATTGATGGGCTAAATTTACACGGAGTAATCTAGGGAGTAAAATGTTCAGGTTTTGGTTTTGGACCACAACTGAAGGCAGTGTTGTTAGGTTTGGGGGTTTTCTCTGTTGTTTTTATTGTTCTTAGTTCATTTATTTTATGCTGCTTCCTGTTTTTTAAGGCAAAGGATTACTATATTTTGACCTGTTCGATTTTCCCCTAGCACACTTGTGATTTCTATTTCCCTCTTCCAGTTCTTCCTTTGTTCAGTCTATGTCCCGATGTGCACAGAGAAGATTAACATCCCCATAGGTCCCTGTGGTGGCATGTGCCTCTCTGTCAAAAGAAGATGTGAACCCGTTTTAAAAGAATTTGGATTTGCTTGGCCTGACAGCCTAAACTGCAGCAAATTCCCACCCCAGAATGATCACAACCACATGTGCATGGAGGGCCCAGGAGACGAAGAGGTTCCCCTTCATAGCAAGACCTCCCTGCAGCCTGGAGAAGAGTGCCACAGCATGGGATCTAACTCAGATCAGTACATCTGGGTGAAGAGAAGCTTGAGCTGCATCCTGAAGTGCGGCTATGACGCTGGTCTCTACAGCAGGTCGGCTAAGGAATTCACAGATATCTGGATGGCTGTGTGGGCGAGTCTTTGCTTCATCTCCACTGCATTCACAGTCCTGACCTTCCTGATTGATTCATCCAGATTTTCCTACCCGGAGCGCCCAATCATATTTTTGAGCATGTGCTACAATATTTATAGCATTGCTTATATTGTGAGGCTAACTGTGGGCCGGGAAAGGATATCCTGTGATTTTGAAGAGGCAGCAGAACCTGTTCTTATCCAAGAAGGTCTTAAGAACACAGGATGTGCTATAATTTTCTTGCTGATGTATTTTTTTGGGATGGCTAGCTCCATCTGGTGGGTTATTCTCACATTGACCTGGTTTCTGGCCGCAGGACTCAAGTGGGGCCACGAAGCTATAGAAATGCACAGCTCCTATTTCCACATTGCAGCCTGGGCTATCCCTGCAGTGAAGACCATTGTCATTTTAATTATGAGACTAGTAGATGCAGATGAGCTCACCGGTCTGTGCTACGTTGGGAACCAGAACCTGGATGCACTGACAGGCTTTGTTGTCGCCCCACTTTTTACCTACCTGGTCATTGGGACTTTATTCATTGCAGCGGGGCTCGTGGCCTTGTTTAAAATCAGGTCTAATCTTCAGAAAGATGGAACTAAAACGGACAAACTGGAGAGGCTAATGGTGAAAATCGGTGTCTTTTCAGTGCTGTACACCGTGCCAGCAACGTGCGTCATTGCCTGTTATTTCTATGAAATCTCCAACTGGGCCATTTTCCGCTACTCGGCAGACGATTCCAATATGGCAGTGGAGATGCTCAAAATCTTCATGTCCCTCCTGGTGGGTATTACATCAGGTATGTGGATCTGGTCAGCCAAAACTCTGCACACGTGGCAGAAGTGCTCGAACAGACTGGTGAACTCAGGGAAGGTGAAACGGGAGAAGAGAGCAGATGGTTGGGTGAAACCTGGGAAAGGGAACGAGACTGTGGTATGAGGAAAGGATGGCACCCCCATGGTCTGACTGCTGTCCCGAGGAGGACTGATCTTGTGTAAGCATCGCCGTATAAATGTTGGGAGCAGCGTGGGGAGACGGTTACCACAACCTGTCTCTGGGGAATGGGGAAAAAATAAAAAAGCCTTAAAGAATAAACAGCAAAAAGATCATGCTGCAGACACAATAGCCATAAACCATGCTGCCCAAAATAGGGAAGCCCAGGGAGGCTTTAAAAGCTGTGAAATAACCAAACACATTGTCCTCCTTTTTTTTCGTTTGTTTTAGAGCAGAAGGTGATATACTGAAGTCATTAGAAGCTGAGGAACTGCAACCCACAGCTGTGGGAAGCTGTTTTCTTTTGATGGCCTTATAGCTGGTGGAGGAAGGCAGTATGGGGCCAAATTCTGGGCTGATTTAGGGTCCAATTATCAGAAGATGAAGCACCCAGGACATCAGTTAGGTGTCTTCTTCCCAAGTTCAGTGTTGTGAAGGAAGTGCTTGCTGAGGGTTGTGTCTTTATGCCCTGGGAAATTCTGTTGCTCCCACACGCTGCACAGGTCAGCCAAGGATCAGGTGTTCCAGCAAACACCATGTGGAATTTCCACGTCTAAGAGTTACCCATGATGAGTAGGATTTAGTGAGGTATTAGTGAGGGTGATTCTTTAAGTCAGATGGTCTAATAAATCTGATGGTCTAATAAAAATTTTGACTCACTGTCTGTAACCTGGTCTGACTTGAGAGTTGACTCAGCCTTGAGCAGGAATTTGGACCTCCCTAGGGCCCTTCCCACCTGAATTATTCTGTGATTCTATCAATATTTCCAATTTTTAAAAAGTTTTATTCAAGGCCATTGTCAGAAGTAGAGGAGTCAGTGGGATCTGGGAAGCTTTTTATGGTCTTCTGCATTGATTATTGTTATCTGTCTGCCTCCGTCCCTGTCCCTTCAGGTGCTCCTGCTATTTCTAGCAGACTACTTTATTCTGCTGCATTTAATAGCTTTAAATAAAGTCTTACATTATAGTGTTCCTTCCTCCAGGAAAGAGAAAAATGAGTTGAGGGTCTTTTCAAACAATGCCAGTTTTCTCCAAGTAAACTTATCTGGCTCTCTCTGGAGACCAATTGCATGAAGCAATTAAGTCTTAATATATTTCATTCAGTGTGATGGTATCTCCGCAGACGCCAGTCTGGGGAGAAGCAAAATGTTAAGTTCCTTGGAAACCTCATGTTCACACAGATCGGTTGTATAATTATGTGTGTCAGTTACAATTAAAAGAACATTCTCAGCCCATGACATCACAGTACAGCTGACTGCCTCACAGTGATGCTCCACTTGCTCACCAACAGCTATGGAGATTTTTTTTTAAAATATATATTTACTTGCAGAATGTGAGCAGGCATTCAGTCCTCAGGAACAACAAGAGACATTTCCACCTTTTGTAAAGGGATCCCAAGAGAAGAGATCCAACTTCTTGGTGAATAATGTTGTTTTGTAGCAAATGTTGAGAGTTTTTTACCCTTTTATTTGAGAAGGTATTGGCTTGTGCTCATGGGGAGCTTGAATCTTTTGTTGGGGGCTTGTTTGGCCAATAAGAAAGATGATACAAATAGAAGCACTTAAGGTGGACACTGTTCTGATGCTCTGTCCCTCTGAAGGACCTTTGGTTTTATCCGTGTGCCCTAAATTTTTGCTTCATTTGTTTGTTGGAGCTTGGTGAGTGGCAGAGCATCCGCTTGATGCCTTGACTCGCATGAGCTTTGAGGGCAGCTGAGAAGCAGCACAGCTTCATTACAGCCCTTGCTTTTCACACAGGTGCCCCATGTGCTTCCCAAACCAGAATTCATTCCAGCTTGGGCTGTGAGCACTAATCTGTCCCAGAAGTGTGTATTGTTTCAATGTCAATGTTGAAACATGTGCAAGAGCTTTTTTTTTTTTTTTTTTTTAAAAACATCTTTTTTAAAAAAAAAAAAAAAAAAAAAAAAAAAAGAAAGAAAGAAAGAAAAAACACCAAACCCCAAACAAACCCTAATTGCAGTCTTTGTGGTTGGGCTCCCTCTCCAGCAGAACAAGTGACAACTTGACACATTCTGCTCAAGAGGCACAAGCATTGTCTTGGCCAACACCACATACCAGCCAAGCCTTTTCATTCTCTCCATGAAGTCTCTCACTTTTGGTGTTGTGTTTGGATCTGGTTATTCCTCTGTGGACAAGGAGTTCTGCAAGTAGGAGATCTGAAGATGGCTGAGCTTCTTCGTTGTGCAGTCTTTCTCCTGGTCCAAGAAAGGAATGTAAAATCAGCAGCTATGTGTTGACATTCAGGGAGTGAGGACACAATACAAGGTTTTTCTTGTAACCTGGTGTTGGGCTGTGACAAGGTGTCCTGTTCACTCAAGTGTCCTTTCCTCTGAAATTGGTCTGGATACTCTTCTGGCCAACACGACCCATGTTTGACCTGACTGATTCAATAAACAGAATTTTTAACTATGTTATGTACACAGAAGTGAATGTTAAGTATTACCTTGTCATCAGATCTGTGCATCTCTGCCTGTGACCCCATGGACTGTGACAAATGGACGTCCGTGGTGATTTGAGGTGGTGGATGAGGATAGCACTGAGTGGCCATATAAGGGACCTGGGGGGGGTATTCTGTTAAAGAGTGTGTGAGACTTAAATACTATGGGGAGAAGGTGGGCTGGGGAGAGACACCAGTTGCTGTTCCTGAAGGAACATCTTTCCCAGGCGTTCAGTGGGACACTGTACCAACCCAAAGTGAGATTAGCTGTTGTATAACCATTTCATAAATGTATTCATCCATGTGCATTTACCTTGCCCTGCTTCAGGGCTGTATGAATGGGAAGTCACAGCAGATAACCTAAGACCGAGTGGTTGCAGAGAGTGAGTATCCTATGTTCTTTCATTTCAACACTGTTATGAATATAAAGCCAAAAAAAATGTGTGACTAATCCTGTTTCGGAAGTGCTGTTGCTGTGGTTATACAACTAGAAACTTGACAGCAGTTACCTTCCTTGTGCAATCCCTGCTCCCTTCTCCCGCCCCCCCAAGACGTGTGCTCTTCTCACTACACGTTTCAGAAGCACCTAGTGGAGAGGTACAAGCTTAGCTCTTATGTTAGACAAGTTAGCTCCTTTTTCTGAATTTTAAAGAAATAGACACTGATTATTTTGGGGTGTACAGAAAATATATCTACTTCAATGTATGTACTGTAAATTTCTAATTTATCACTGTAAAAAAACCAAACAACTTTGCTATTTAATTTTTATATCAAAATAAAATTTTAACCTCTGTGGATAACTAAGACATTCCTGGCAGCCCTCATGTTTTGGGTGAGTTTGTTTCTTAAATTGGCTTCATCACTGTTGGAAGTGCTTTTTTACCCTGAAGGAAGAAGGACTGAAATGCTCAGCTGTGCTCAAGGGATGCTCCAAATGGGTTAATCTGGCATGGTTTGGATGTAAATGTGGGTTACAAGACATAGCTGAGAACAAAAGATCACTGGGCAATGATGAAAGCACGTGTGCTTCAGGGCTTGCACGTGGGGTGGACAGAAGTCCTTTCAAAGGTGGTGCACAGGTCCCGGGTGCTGGCTGGGGGTGCTGCTGGAGCTTTGGGCTTGTCTGAGCATGTCCCCAAAGCCAAACAGGAGTTCAAAGATGGAAGCACAACCATCTGCTACTGTAGCACTGCTGTGATATGGCTCCTGGAGGGAGCAGAGCGTCCTGCAAGCTCCTTTTTCTTTCATGTGTTATGGAATAGGTGCACTCAAAGATGCACTGAGCATTCCGATCCAGGGTGTGTGGTGGAGGAGGACAGCAGCACCACTGCATGTTGAGTCTGTGAGAACTACTAGTGGCATCTGGAAGGGGCAAATTCTGCTCTTAGTAACGTGCTTTGAGTTTGCTCCTAGGGCTAATTTCAGAGAACAGATTCAACTGATTGTCTACATTTTCTTGCAATTTTTTTAAAAATTAAGCCTATTAATGATCTGCTTATTTTTCATTCCTTTTTGTCATTGCTGATCACAGGTTGTACAGTGGCAGCAAGGAGTTTCTTCTTTTGGTGTACATCCCTCACCAGTTTCTCTGCCACTGATATTGTGCTATTAGTCATGATCTGAACCCACTTAATCATCTCCATCGAGATGCATTCTGTGTGCAGGATTACTTAATTAGCATAATGTTATTCTAACAAGAACCTAAATCAGAGTAGAGTGGATAATAGTGAGGAGGCACTATAAAGAAGACAGTAGGAATTATCACCTGTTTATCTGTAGCTAATCACATTTTGAAGAGGAGCATCTAAACCCGGTAATTACAGTGACTTGCTCATGCCTTTGGCAGCTCATCATTGTAATGTTCTCAGGTTGATGATTAATGAGATCTCTGAAACTTATCATTAGGAGTCTTTAATATAGCTACAGTTAAATGTAACAAACGTAAAAGAGCTTCTGGGGAGGGGAGCAGGATCTCCCTTTTGCCTTGGGGCTGTTCACCAGAGATCCTCAGGCACAGTGTTCAAGATGATGTTGTCTCCTCCAGGTTTCTCTGATGGCCACTTGCCCTTATATGTGTCACCCACATCAGGTGTCTCAGAGCATCACCTTTGATGTGACAGTGAATTGCTGGAGTGGCTTTGAATGGGGAACATCCTCCATGAGCCACTGGGGTGATAGATCACCACAGGTTTGTCTGCAGAGGGGTGTACGTTTCTGTGTATACAAAACTCACCACAAAAAGAAAGCCTTTATGAGGACTTTTTCTGATGGTTTTGCTATTTAGGCTTGGGGTTTTTTGATTGCTTCATTTATTTTGTCTTGTTTTTTTAAATCTGTCCATAAAAAGAACAAATGTTAAGGAGTTTGTAAGCAAAGGAGACTGGAGTTCTGCTGCTGGAAATCAGAAGCATCCTAAGCTCCAGTAATGTGAAAATGTGGTATCATGAGACCTTGGCTTCAGTGGTGGAGTCTCCACCCCACCTCCTCTGTCCTCAGGACTCATTCCCATAACTGTACCATATTTCAGCTCCTCGTCCTTTTTGCCCGTACAACTATTTGTGGCACTGCGCTGCAAAGCAGGTCAGCAAAAAGACACAGGTTAAAAATAACCATCAGAGTTTTTGCTTTGTTTTATGCTGGAGGTTTATTTTTAACTTGGAT